CATTCCAGGATCCACTATCCACACCCTTAACCCATATAGACTTTCTCCTGCACTGAAAACAACCCCAAGCATTGCGTTCAAGATCATAGAAACACAATAAATAATAAAGATGATATGCACATGGACTGCAAGGATAAGAATCATTTTCAGTGCATGCAAACATGACACAAACATATCTTAAGTCTTTCAACTGTGTGCTGATGGTTCACTCACCTCAGCTCCATTAAGTCCTGGCCAAGGTTCTTCTCCATAGGAGAACAATTCTAACACAGTGATACCAAAGGCCCAAACATCAGAGGCATGGGAAAACTTGCGGAATTTAAGAACTTCTTGTGGACACCTAGAGCAAGAAAATCACAATCCTAAAGCAATCGTTTAACATAACAAAGTGTAACCCTTTCAAGAATCTTTGGATGAGTTGTCCTTCATGTAACAATTAAAAAGACCTGATGGCATTAACTTTTAACCCTAAATAATGACTGCCACCTAATTTATCCTTACCAAGTCACTTCTGAGTCAAACATAAAATCATTACAAAAGAATGATTACTCCTAAAGAAGCTCTTGATTGTTTGATTAATTCTCCTTCTTAATATTACAATAAATGTGTAGAGAAACCTGTTGAGAATATGCACACTGATGTTGGGGTGTACAGGATTAGTGTAAATAAATTAACACTTACCATGCAAATGGAATTTTGCCACTGGGATGCATTGTGTAGTGGTCATCATCATCAGAGAGGACTCGCATCATTCCAAAATCTCCAATCTTCACTTTCTCATATGACTGTAGCAAAAGATTGCGCGCTGCCAGATCACGATGAACAAATCTGTGAGACTCAAGATAAGCCATTCCTGAAGCTATCTGGACCACAAAATCACTCAAGCCACTGATGGTAAAATTATGAGGTTCATCCCTGAGCCGTGCTAATAAACAGCCAAGTGGAGCCAGCTCTGTGACCTATTGAGTTTAGAGTTAAACCAAAAAGATGTGAACCTCATTGGAAGACTGGTATTTGATACAGCAGCAGTTAAAAGAGCAACCACACTCTTTGAAATGCTATACAGAATTAATATACGCAGTGTAACCAAGACTATACATATACATGTTTACTGTTCAATTAATCTTTTTTGCAATCACTTGTAGAATGTTCCACTCCAGACTATTTGCTGTTTGTTCATTTTCTATGTTCTCTATTTTTCTATTGTTTGTTGCCAGGTAGCCTATATTTCGGGCAAAACCTGTTGGCCGACTGTCGGCCGACAGTTGACCGATGGTCAGCCGACATGTTTTTTGGGGAGCTCTTCTTCACAATTACCCTATTTTTTGTTTAATTTTATTTTCAGTGATTTTATTATTTTGAATTTTCCCATTGTTACTATTATTTTCTCCTCGTTACCATTATCATATTGCTTCCATGGCTCAAAGCTATTCTTTGTTGTCGCATGAACATTAGCTAATACACAAAAAAATAATCATATTGTTTTGAACCAGGTTAAAATCTAAGTTTGGCATTTGTACATTTCACCATTTGTACACTCTTTTTTGCAATCATTTGGAAAATTTTCCAAATTTTTCTCCCCCTGAACATGTACAGTGTGTTTGACAATTTTATAAATGCACCAAAAATGCTGTGGAAAGTATATCAAGTACACGTAATAGTCACTTTTGTTGAACGTACCAACATCATTGGTGCAGAAAGAACAACTCCGTGGAGTCTGATTATGTGGGGATGATCCAGTAGACTCATGGCATTAGCTTCCTTAATGAATTCCATCTGCATCTGTTGGAAAGCCTTGTCATTCCATGCCTTCAAACACTTCACAGCAACATCAACCTAACAAAATATTCAAAAGGGAATTACTGATAACACCACCAAAAAAAATAGATATTAATGCTTATAACAAAAATCAATAGAAAACAAGCTGACAACAAAAAGGTTTTCAATGCATTATGTACAGGTGTGATTGAAACAATTTGTCATGTTCTTGGTCAAAACACTAGATTCTCAAAATACTGCCCTCTATTCAAGATTGCTGTAATTGTAGGTCAAGGCTCCAAGCTCACCATTTCAGGACCTTTAACCCTTTAACTCCCAGATCAAATTTGTCATTCTCCTTACTGTCAACCACACAATTCTTATGATGTTACTTCAGAGACTATAGCATTGGATCAACTTATTATCCCCAAATTGATATTTCTCTTTATTCTCACCACTTATCTGGTTGATATTGTATTGGTATTGTAAGGAGAAATTCTGTCTTGGTCACTCTTGGAAGTTAAGGTTTAACTCAAGTAGGGGCAATATTACAATGAAAACTGTACTTTGAACTTTCATTTAACTCAATATTCATCTTACTTCAACTCTTGACCATGAAAACCACACATGACTTGCCAGAAAAAAAGAAACAAAATTTGGTTGCCAAACTAGCAAATTATGATGAAAATTCAGTCACCAATTTAAATTCTTTCTCCTTGCCATGTTGACCACAATGGGCACAACTAAAAGTGGCAAGTGCTATGATACACTGTCTAAGGAACCTGACCAAAGGAAGGCAGATAACTTGGAAAGGATTTGAGCATCTCATCCAAAGGCAATACCACTGTAATGGAGATTAACTCTCGAAACTAAAGTGAGTCAGTGCTCCAAACAGATTCTGCATATTAAATAAATACACGGGATCAATATCAGTATCTGAGCAACTGCCCACCTACCCCTCCCCTAACTCAAAAACAGTCAATTGATAACAACTTAGGGTTAATGTTGGGTTAGGGGAGGGGTAGGTGGGCAGTTGCCCAGATACTGATATTGATCCAATACATGTATGTCAGTGGTTAACCTATTTCGGTTGAATATTCAGTTCACCTTCTTGTGGGAGTTCTTCATCCATGTTCCTCTCCTCACATACCCAAAGGCACCATTTCCAAGCATTTCATAAAGAGAAACAGACTGCTCAGTGATGACACATGTCAAGGAGTCACCTGCAACTCCATAGCAACTTGAGCGCTCTGGTGTAGATTCTACTGGACTCTCTGATTTCTTCGATTTCTATTATAAACACAAATGAACAAGTTTACCACAAATACTAGAACAACTGTAACATTTAGAAAAATTATGTGTAGTCAGTGACATGAAAGTGAAAAGAGACGAGTGTAAGTGACCATTGCTTTAGTTAAAATTAACCCAACCATCACTTTGTATCATATGAAACAATTATCTAATGGGATTAGAGAAATTGTGATGTTGAGAAGGAGACTATCAAAAAGGCCGCTATGTGCTTCAAAGAGTCTCTCTGGACCCTAGTTCATTACAGAGTCAAAAATGAAAACCAACCTAGTTTGAAATCATGTTTTTGATTTTTCAAATTAGACATTCTTAGTCATCAATTGAAATGTTGAAATATCACATAATGGTAAGTTTACATTCTAGTTCAGTTTATATCACTTAAAAACTACAAACTACCTTACAACTTATTATCATGTATTCACTGCCTTTTCTAAAACCACAAGGGATAAAAAAAGGGAAAGATAAAACTATCTAAATAAAAATGTATGAATGGCGAATGTTTTTCAGTAGAACATAAAAATGGTGTAAGCATCATGTTAGAAGTAAGTAAAGTGTAATTACATATGTAAGTATAATATATAGAAAAAATAAAAATAAAAATTAAAAAAAAAATATGTTGGTACAGATGTACAGAGAGGGTATTTCAATTTAATTCCTTATTCATGAATCTCTTTTTAGAAGTTTTTTTAGAACATTTCATTTTTTCTCATTCTGTGAGTGCATGTGCTCTGAGTCCATGATCAAAAAACATCCAGCATGAAAGGCTGTAGATTAAGTAAAATCATGACATGATTTGATAAAAAAAGAATTGAAAACTTTTCAGCATGTCCAATCAAAGGTCAAGCCTCCTTTATGTTCTGAAGGTAGTTAAAATGTTCATGTCTTTAAAAATCCCCCTTACTATAACTATCTAATCTAATCCAAAAATTTTATTACAAGAAAGGACAAATGTATCAGGTAGAGAGTGTTATCTTAATATGATAAAGTCCAAATTCTCTGGACTCATGACCAAGGAAGTGTACTAATAGTGGAATAGAGAATCAGGAATTTGATCAGAAGAGTAATGTCATAGAAAAAGTAACAAATATTCTATGTACATGTCTATAATCCCAGAGTTTCTAAATGCTGTTGGTGGTATCTCTCAGTAAAGGAATAAAATTCTTAACTTTTAGCAAAGGTGTAATTTTTGGTACAGGTTAAAAGTTATATACAAAATCACCAACCACATGACAAGAAATTCAAAATAAAGTAAAATAAAAAACAAAAATTACTATGATAAATTAATCAAAACAAAAACAAATTTTTTTAATGTGATCGGCTATCATAGGTCTAATTTGAGAACTAATAGGACAGTAAACACATCCTGCTTGTTAGTGGATTGTGTAATTGGACTGTGTACCCACCATGCATGTAATTGGACAGTGTAATTGGACAGTGTAATTGAACAGTGTAATTGGACAGTCTAGTTAGACAGTGTAGTTGGACAGTGTATGGGCCATGCTTGTAATTGGACAGTGTACAGGCCATGCTTCTAATTGGAAAGTCTAACTAGACAGTCTAATTGGACAGTGTGCATGCCATGCTTGTAATTGGACAGAGTGTGCGTTGTGCTTTTAATTGGACGATATGCGCATCATGCCTGCGTAACTGGACTGTGTACGTCAAGCACATGCACTGATCTGCACATTTTGTCGAGTTGAGTGCTGCTTCTTATGAAAAAATTACATCAGATGGCTAGCTTGTCCTTAAAATGTTATCATTTTTAATTAACTAGCAACAGGACTTCCTGTTGTCTAATTCTGTTTGTAACGGCAATCCTAACAAATCAGACCCCGGCTTTGCAGTTGTCTGATTTTAATCTGTTACTCACTCGACTGTAAGATTATAGACTGAATTGGACTCCACTCAGTCTCATTTCCATTACAACTTAACAAACAAACAATGTTGTATTCACAAATGAGCAGCACATGAACAATGTGATTACATTTGAAGGAGATTGAAACATTAATCATTTCTATTGCATATTCATGAGAAAAGCTGTTTTTTTTTTCTTGTTTTTTTTTTTTTTTTCATTTTCCATGAAGAACTGATTTTAGTTTCTAACATCGGTGTTTTTATCATTTCTTTCAAGATCAGGTGATTCCACGCACACCGTTTATGGCGTTGTTTTAAATTGTACAAACCTTCCGCTTGGAAGTATCACACTTTGGAATCTTAACTACAGATCTCTTGGGCATTATAATGAGTTGAAAACACAGTCAAAACAAAGCCAAAGTCCCGAGGAATTTGGTTTGACCTAAATACAAGACATATTTGAAATGTTCGTTTTCAAAAGATCAGAACAATGATGAGTCAAAGGTTGTATAATTTAAGCTCTTGACTCAAACTGAATACCTTAAAAATAAACCAAAATAAAAACCATGATAAATTTAACCGATGTGTAAGAGCTTTTAACCGTTTAAGAATCTATCAGGAAGACTGAAACAGTTCCTTTCGTTCACTGGTAGAGAAGTAGAAGCGTATTTTGAGAATAAATGGAATTTTTTTTCCGCTCTGACCCCGCTGTGAAACCAGACGACGTAAATGAAACACGTGGACAGAGGAGCAAGTTAATCGAAAGCGCAATTATTTCATTTCTAAGAATATAAGAGAGTTCTGTGCTACTCAAAGAAAGTAAAATTTAATTTTCAGTTCTATCGACTTCATATCTGTGTGAAATACATGATCGTGGTATAAATTCGTGAGCAAGTTATATATACCGGGTCGTCGATAATATTCTCGGATAACCATCACTGTACGCATGTAAAATAAAATGCATAGAGTGTGATTTTCTGCCTAAAGACACCATACTTAACTATTAATTATAAATGGAACGATATGATTTAAGTAAATTTCCTTTCTTAAAAAAAAACTACGACAGAATCGACAAACGCGTAGATTTAACGTAAGTCAAAACAAGTTTACTGACGCACGTAAAGACGCGCGATTTCGTCATCTAAGCATCGGAGAGATAGTTCTTTAATTTAAGAACTCACCTTTCTTCTGAAGCTGCTAAAAAGCGATTTCTTCTTTGCTTTCTTAAGTGCTTCAAACAAACGTCTCTGTTCAGGTTTTGCCATTCCGAGATCGTCTAAATCTTCTTCCGTTACGTGATCAAAGTGCGACAGACGAGTAACATGTAGTTTTCCATGGATCTGTCGATAATACTGTTCTAACTGAATGTCCTTTAATAGATCTCTGACCCTTTTTTCTTCTGTGGTATCCATTTGATCCCGTTTTCATAAACAATACAACGAATTTTTCGATGACACACTAAACTTTATTACCTCGCGTTGTCATCACTCCTATAAACTCTGTGTTCATTGATTCCCGTAGTGACTAACCATAGTAAGAACGGCGCGGCTAATCGTTATTAGTTGGAGTTAGTAGGAATTTACCTTTCAATCCACACTCATGAATCACGCAGTATCTGTTTCGAAACAATTTTAACAGCCAATAACATTTTCAACAGCTAAAAATATTCTTTAAAATTGCCTTCAAGGAATTGTACAAGAAGTTATTTTTCTCGGAGGAGAAACTTAATATAATTTACACAAGCTTTTAGAGCAGAATAAGTGATTATAAAATTCTCTCAACACAACTCCCTATGGGGCTAAACCTCCATTCATCAGCCAATCATTTCGGCGCGTAGTGAAACAATAATTAAGTACCTACACGCTGTTTCACGCTAAGGGAATCACCTGATATCGAACGATCTCGATCTCATAATTTATTGACGACCATCTCAAATGTACCACGAGTAAAACAAATTATGATCATAAAAAAACTATGACTGCTAAAGATATAATACGCCCGTACAGGTTGCGTTTAGAGTGCAAAGGTAAACAGTGCGGGGGAGGGTCGAGTGATTTTCACTGTTCCGTGCATTTGCGTAGATATCATACCAACCCGAAGGTTGTGGTCTCGTGGATCATCAAGCTTTAACATATCGCCCGAGGCCTTTGGTCAGTTCAAACGCAAACTTTTCAACAGTGGAGGATGATTATTTCTTTAAGTGACTACGTGACATACTCAGCAGATAATTATAATGATGACTACGTATGAACAAAATGATATTGAGAGGGAAACGTCCTTTAACTGGGTTAAAGATACTTCCGGTTAGGTCTCAAATACCGAACGGCACACTCAAAATAGGTATGAACCTTTTTAGTTTTTTTTTTATCATATTGACGATATGCCAGATGACTTTTCCTTCGTGACTGACGGTACAAAAACCGAAAGGATCCGGAATTTGAAACCGCAAGACGCACAGATTTTGATTGATTTATATTTTTAGTGATATTTTTCTATTATTTTGGTCGGTGACTTTTGTCGGTTTAGCGACTTTTGATTAAACTTCCTGCCAATACACTACTCCTATGGATCGCTTCCGCACGTTGAAACGAGGAATCTGCAACGGATGCGAGAACTACAGACCTTTGTCCTACTAGAAGCGATGTCGGCCGTGCTGGGCTTAAATGTAAATCGGCACAGAACTCCAAATCGTGACATCCCTTTTATATACCGTTGTGCAAATCAAAACTATTGCCCTGTTCATTCTGTTTGTTATTGTTAGTACTA